CTGGAAAAACCTGGGAAAACATGAGGAATATTTACTCATCGCTGAGTTCCTGCACTTATTTCTGAGATAACTAAACTCAAATTTGGGTCGTTCTCATTTGCCGTGATAGATATCGGCGCCGGTGGTTAGCGTGATTACCTCTCACCCCAGCAGGCCTGGGTCCAATCTCAGTCGGCGCCACTGGCATGTTCTAAGGCATAACATCTCTGAGAGCTGCCTCCCTGCCGTCGGTAGCATTGGAGCTCAGTACGGAAAACAATTAATTAATTAATTTATCTTTATTAGGGAGGCTTTCAGCCTGGGGCTGGTTCGCCTCCAACTACACTGAAACAAATCGACATGTACCGTTTATTGGATCCATCTTATAACATAGCAATGTCAGCAGATTTATTCATTCTATGTGATGATTGATAGATTCCATTGGATTATCACTTAAAAACTATGACTGCGATATGGAATGATTTCTATCGTAATTTCACATACTTATTACTTGATAATACTTTGCTTCGAACGTGGTTAGCGAAGGTAAGAAGTATATGAATATTGTCTGATATATTTCATGGTGAAAAACTGTTGATATGTCATGGGTGGGAACAGACATCTAGAAACTAATGGAAAATCATATAAGTTTGCACTATGAGAAAATTCAGTAAAATATACCTGTTTTCATGATGAATATTGCTCACTAAAATATATATCTTATAAGATAATCATGTATATTTTATTGGAATTGCTTTTACTGATTTTTGACGTTTGTTGATATGTCGCGTGTAAATAGACATGTAGAAACTATTGGACTGTCATTTAACTTTGCAGTATAGGAAAACATGTATATCTCATTGTAACAGCTTCCTTTGATTTTTGACGTTTAAAGATTGTAAACAGATCTATCCCAATCATTAAATAGTCATATAGAAATGCCTTTTAAGAAATCCAACAGCAAGCATTTGTTTTTGTATGTTTTTCTGGGATGAATATCGCTCCCAATAAAATACATCTTACATGATTGTTTTTTATAAATTATTGAAACAATTTTCAACGATGTTAACGTACACTCATTCATATGATAATTGGTTCCAGAAAAGAATGTATTGAGATTGAAAAAAAAAATGATTCTACTGTAATATTTACTTTGCTATGATTCTAATTGTAAGCCTTCTACACGGCTAATTCAGATTCCAGCCCTAAGTAGTACTCGAACTTCATGAGCCAGTTCTATCAAATCATATAATTTAGTCGTTGATTTATTGCACACAGGTGCATTAAGAAAGATTTGAACAAACCACACCACCGAAACGGAACATAAATTTGTCAGTGCTATTTGTCTTCACTCTACCAAAACGAGCATAAAGTTGCACTACATTCCATGTCATGAGAGCTGTTCTTACTTCATGCTATTTGAACGAGCTCAATCTTGAAGTCAGCCGTGGCCCAGTGGAATCGAGCACAGACACCGAAAGCATCACACCTCAACAGATCTTGATCGAATCCCAAATCAGCTACAATAAAAAAAAGGCACAACTGTGAAAGCTCCCACTGCCTGATGTTTATTTTTCGAATTTATTTTTAGAAATCGATTAAATATATGTGTCAAAAGAAGAAGTAAATTTCATGTTATTTTCACATAAACTTTACTTTAATTGATTTATGACACATATATTATATTGTGGTGAAAAGTATAGCTTATGCTTATGGGTTTCAAATCCATTTCAGTTAATTATTATAATTTAATCGATTTTCATTTATCATATGACGATCATATAAAAGTTACCAAATTATCAGCATTGTAAATGTATCAGATATTCATATAGAATTTACCTGACACATTTTCAATCATATCATTTTCAATGGATTATCTTATAGCGCAAATTTATTAGACTTCCACATAACAGGAATATGTCAAATTCGTTCAGTGTACGGAAAACAAATCTCGCGTCACTTTTCAATAGGTCCTATCTACATTGATCGATTCTCTTCATCGACACTCTCTTTCGTAAATAACTCGGCTTCACAAATCTGGATCAACAATAGAAAAGAGCCAATCAGCATTTGTAAACAAATCGTTCCAAAGCCCTTTACTCACAAAGCGAAGGCCACCCACACAAACCAACACCATCATCGGATAGGGGAAACTTCTACCTACAAGATGTTGGTGTTGGTTTGTGTGAGCGGCCTTCGATTTGTGAGGCTTTGGAACGGTTTGTTTACAAATGCTCATGGGCCCTATTCTATTGTTGATCCAGAAATGTTTCCTGCCGTCTTCGTCGAGTTAGATGCTAGATTGTTGCTTCTTTCATCGAAAATATCCGGCCGTGGCGATTCAAAGTTGATCAAGGTTGATCAAAACAATTTGTATCCCTGCTTCCAGTTTGATTACATGAGCATTTTGTGTGGTCGGTGGTTCTGAATATGGACAAACAGGCAGATGAATTCTATTCCTACTCTTTACTGTAATAAGCTTGGTGGCCCTGAAAAGAGCCGTTTTGTTTCCAATGTTGGTGATGATTTAACCTCTGACACCAAACAGAGTGCGTCTCTGTCACTTCAAAAACGTAGATGACATCCATGGCCGCTTACGCTTGGCGTGTTTAGTGTAGGTGACAGCATCACAGATCTCATTTTTCAGGAACACCTTCAGCACACCTCGTAAATCAGACCGGAGATACGTCAGACACCGCCACGGCGAGCCAGACGACGGATGGTGGTTATCTCGAAGAATTTGCGTTTGGTTCTGAACATGGCGATGAGTGTGTAAAACTTTGGTGACTAACCTGCTATTGCAATTTTTCAGTGTACCACATGGCAACACCACTACCACTGGATTGTACCACATGGCAACACTACTACTGGATTGAACTAGCATTTTCACCAAATGTACTAGAATGTTTTGGTTCTATCTCTTTCACTCTACTCAAAACTGGAATGCATAAAAAAATGACAAAATGATATACACTCTTTGCACACTGTCAAAGAATCATTGTACACAAAATCAACTTTGTGCAAAACCAAAACAAAAATACTATCCCATCTGGTGGATGATGGCACAAGCTTCTAAGAAAATTCTATTATCTTCGCCAGTTAGTCGTCTGTCACTTCGTTTGTGCCTGTACCCTACCTACCGACCCATCAACTCATGAACCGGAGATCAACGGCTTTACTTCCCTTCCGCAGGAAGGCGTGATCAGAGATGTTATGCCTAAGAACATCCCGGCGGCACCGACTGAGATTGAACCCAGACCTGCTGGGATGAGAGGTAATCACACTGAAACTCGTAGAACGAATTTGCAAACAAGAAGCAGTGTTAGATTTCTTACAATATCTCAATAATTTGTGACTCTTCATCAAATCCAACGGTACGTGTAGAAAGGTAAATAAATTCATATATGTATAGTAGAATCACTCTATTTTTGAGTTCATATCCGTTCGAAAAAGAGAGATTAAGTGTGGGAAATCAATACATTATAGCAAAACTACGACATTTATCTAGGCGAATCCTGATACAACGAACCCAACCTGATGTAATGAAATTGGGAAACAGCAAAAACGGATATCTTCCATCAGGGTTACTTCCACTCACTTGCTGTAAAAAAACGTTTTTCAGAATTATTAAATCATTAGATGTTATAATGATAATTACTACTTGTAAGTTACAAGAAGAGGTCGTGAAGTATGTGTTTGACACAACAAAATCTGTCAATATTGCTTTCAGTGCGCCACAATCAGCAATTTTACGATTCGTGAACGCTCACTCTGAGTTAACGCTCAAGAATCATAAGATCGCTGATTGTGACGCTGTGAAAGTGAAATTGACAAGTTTTATGAGTCAAACACATACTTTACACCCTTTTCTAGTTACGTACAAGTACGATCTCAGAATTCTGAAAACCAATTTTTTGTAGCAAGTGAGTGAAAGCAACCCTGTCTTCCATTTAATTCCACTTAATTCATTTGGGTATCCAGAAGTCGTATTTTGACTACAATTTGCAATCTTCATCAGTGTTATTCCTACTGAAGACTTTTCAAAATCTAACCCCCTTAAGTACTCTTCCTCTAGGTAAACATGTCAAGATCACATGTATAAACAATGGAATTACAACGTGCAGAATCGGAACCTACATACCTAACCTGAGACTTGGATATTCATGAAAGATGTGTTATTCCAGATTAAATTGGATATGATGTAAAATGAACTCGTTTAAAAACAAATCAAAATTTGCACGTATATGGCTTCTATTTTCATACGTATACGTAAGCTGTTTATTCTTCTGTGGTGCTTAAGTACTTGTCACTGAGGAAGTCTACAAGTATTTGTCAAAAGATAAGCAATTATTACGGATATAAAAGGAAATAACTCAACCCACTCAAAAGCTCCTCATACCTTCGTACTTTCAAATTTCACACATGCTCTATCTCTATCCCTATCTTTACTTAAATCTTTGGTTATTAGTTAGGTAGGTTTCGATTCTCTACATTGTAGTTTCATTTTTATACATGTGATCTTGATATTTTTAGCTAAGGGATGAGTAGGGGACAATGGTACTCAACGCACCCCCTGGGCAGAACGCACCAGCTCACTTTCATTAGTGTTTTTAATGGCTATTTCGTTACTTTTTTGATGTCTTATCAAGCAGCACTTCCAAAATGCAAAATGCCAAGAAAAACTCAAAACAAAATGAAAAAGTGCGTTCTACCCCGGGGGTGCGTTATGTACCATTCTCCCCTACTTACGAGGGTTAGATTTTAATAATTTTTTAGTGGGAATGAAACTGATGAAGATTGCACATTGTAGTTGAAATACGACGATACTAAAACTAACTAAGTGGAATTAAATGCAAGATAACCTTTTTTGATGTTTTTATTTTAACATTCAATTTCATTACTTCAACATCCAAATGTTTATAAAATGAGTCTATGTGTATCCATGCAAAGTATCCAAATAACATTCTAGTTGAACATAAATTGACATATAAGTCAAATGCAATACAAATATTTGCGTATACCTTGTAGTATTTGTTTCCAAGACGGCTATGCTCTCTTCTTGTGAAAATTCATCACTTTGTGGTAACGCAAGGCTCTCTAGTGATATTTTACTTGTACTGGTTTTAGTGATAGATTTCATGGTATCCTCATCACTATCTTGCTGTGCTTTTATATCATAATCCACATCAATTGCATCTAGGAATATTGTAGATTCATTGGAACTCAATACATCAACGTATTTATTATTTATTTCTGGGTTTTTATATTCTCTATTCCATTTTGGGGATACTGTTGAATCCAGATAATCTTCATATGTGATGCTAAACGAAGCTTCATGTTCTTTTATATCATTCACTTTCTTCTTATCCAGCTGTCCATAGTCTTTTAAACAAAAATCTATGTCATTGTAGTATTCCTTCCGCATTTGTGTGCATACAGCAAAGGTACCTGATTTTTGTTTATCAGAAATGTTGCTTCCAATTGACATGCATCTGCCATTGCATAAATTTCGGCGGAACTTTGTGTACAAAAGCTTTACCAGATGTGGATTGAATGTAACATTTTCAAGCACAAGAATATTATCATATTCATTAGTTGTAACATACTTCAAAAATCTTTTCGGTGATGATTTTTTTCGACATTGCTTCAAATCACGAAAAATAAGCGAGTCCTCAGATGAATAACTTGTTAGACGTATCTGTAACAGTTAAAACAAACTTTATAAACGACACAAATTATAAAACGATGTTAAACAATTTGGTCTATTGCAATTTTTCATATATAGTAAAGGATGTAATAAATATCGCCAGTCGGGTATGCAAATTGTATTTACCATAACGTTATTTAGGCAGTATCTAGGAATCAATCTTCGCTTATTCACCAAATAATGTACATACTGCTATGCTGCTGACAATTGATCAAAATATTTCGTCAAGTGAAATAGGCACGAGGAGTGACATTTAACATCCACACAATGTTGCAGCTCCAAACCGATGCTGAAATAAGCCGTATCGATGCACAGCACTGCAGTGTACATGTAGCACTGGTAAATTAAAAAAAAAGGTTCATGTCTCTGCTACTACACGCTACATAAAGGAAGAAAACAATTAAATAGTTTATCAAATTAGTTTTAAACGCTTTACACTCTTATGTTCAAGTGACTTTATGATTATATTTGTATAAGGAACTTTCAACTCATTTATGGTGGTAAGATCTAGTTAGTGTTATCCTGGGAGTAAATACCATTTTAGTTTATCTAACTATACTGGTGTTAACATTGAAGTAAATCTATATGACTCTAGACAGGGTCGGTATCAAAAGTAAATATGCGTTGGACCATGGTGGGTATATAAATGGTGATACAGCTTTGTCACTATATAGGCGAGGAGGTCGCGGGGGGGAAAAGTGCGGTTTTAGAGCAAATTGTAAGCAAACTCGGTCGCTGTTCCATACAAAAATCCAACATGGCTGAATCATGAATTTGACACATTAGAACACCTATTTGTAGTTACCTTGGGTTGGACCGTACCACCTTTCAAAAGGTTGTCTTATTTTTTTTTACGAAAATGAGCATGTTGCAAACCCCAATATCATATGAATACACTAGCACATACATATTTCGAATGGTGCCTTGAGTAGGGTGTATTTGAAAAATGCAACAAAAATTCATCATAGATGTCGCCACTGTAGAACTTTCTTCCAATGCAGCCTGAATTGTGGAAGAAAACAATTTGTGATCCCAAAATGCTTACTGTCGAAAAAAAATGAAGTCAGCCTTTTGAAAGTTGGTACGGTTAATACTCTTAATACCAGATAAATTCACTCCAATGTTGACACCAGAAGATAGATAAATAAACTAAATTTGGATTTACTCCGTGGATAATACGAGGGGGGGGAGGGGGGTGCGATGCAGGAAAAATGGTGTTTTGCAGTGGTTAGCTGCTAGAGAGAAAATTGATGACGATTCTGAATATTTCCTGATGCGCGATGCAAGTAGATGCGAGAAATGAAAGCTAGTGTGAGATTTGTTGAGCATCTAGAAGTAATCATTTTGTCAAGCTTCTGCATTCATGTTCCATCAGATGTCACTGCTGTTGTTTGCGGTGACATCTATCGAAAACTACGCACAATATGTTTTCCGTTAATTGTTCACAGAGGACACTGCAGTGCAAAACATGTCTGGTACCTCTATATATGCATTTAGATTAATATTCGAAGTCCCTCCTTTTCTACACATTCTGCACACAAAATTGCTCACCACTCACAGAATTTCCCGCCAAATTTTATGTATGTGGCGGGGCATAAAATATCTTTTGCGCAGAATATTTAAAAAGGAGGGATTTCAAATGTTAAAGTAAATGCATATATAGAGGTACCAGACATGTTTTGTAGTGTCAGGTACTCTCTTTTGTAATCTGTGAAAAGGAAATCAGAAATCGAGTGTCAACAAAATACATGGCATGTTGAGTGATTGAGGTCGTCAGAGCAAATTTTCTCTCTCAAATTTGAATTTTTTGGCTCTCTGGGAACTGGTAGTAAAGCAGGTAAAACTGTATGGGGAAAAATCATTTTTAATTAATTGCAGTTTTTTTTTATCTGGTTCGTTTATTTGTAAGGCTCAATCGCGTTAGCTTTACGAAGCCGATAGTTCATTGTTCTTTGTTTGTAACAAAATTCTCTTAATTCTATGTCTACACAGCAAAAAAATAATTTTGATATCACGTCAAAGTGGATGCACTACAATCATGTCGAAAATATGGTGTAATATTACTTGCTAAAAAGGACAAAATTATCATTAATACAATGCATGAACTTACATTACACTGCTTTTAATGCATTTGTTTATTTATGTGGTCATAAAAATACATGAAATTTTCGACATGATTGTAGTGCATCCACTTTGATGTGATATCAAAATTATTTTTTTGCTGTGTAGTAGGAGTTGGGCCGAATACTCGCGGCTTACTCGAGGTTAGAGAGGTACATTGTTGAAGGATAGGATCAGGGGAGGAGCTTGGGGGTAAGGTTTCGTTTTTCTCATCAGAGCGTTGTCGCCAGTATTAACGGTAGTGCGGTTCTTGTTTCGTCTGGGGTTCGACCGGCTATGGTGACCATTGGGCGACGATGAGACTCATCGAGACGGGGGGACAAGACAAACAAAAACTATTAAAGAGAGACAAAAGACAAAGGAATTAAATTCTTATACTAGACATTTGAAGAAACTCATAAACCGACTGCATATAACAGATATCGCGAGTTCCCAACACGTCTCTGATAGGAACATCGGGTTGTCTTCCTTGGGCCTCGAGGGTATTCAAAAGTCGCTCTCTAGCGGCGTCATTATCCGTACATTTCCAAACTGCGTGATCAATGTCATCGTAACCGTTTCCACACCGACAGATGTTGCTGTCCACGAGGTTTATTCTATTGAGATGAGCATCTAGCGAGTAGTGGTTGGACATAAGTCTACTCATCACGCGAATGAAGTCACGACTTAAGTCCAAGCCTTTAAACCACGCTCTAGAAGAAACATTAGGAATAATTGAATGTAACCACCGTCCAAGATTTCCATTGTCCCAATCGGTTTGCCAACTCGAAAGGGTACTCTGACGCACTAAATGGTAAAATTCATCGTGTGGAATTTGCCTGTCATAAAATTCGCCTTCCTGCGCGCCCACCTTTGCGAGAAAGTCCGCCTTCTCATTGCCTGGGATTGAGCAATGTGAGGGGACCCATACAAAGGTAATCATATATGATCTTTCGACCAGTACACTCATCTGCTCCCTTACCATTGAAAGGAAATAAGATGAGTGCCTACCTTGTTTCATCGACCGAATAGCCTCAATCGAACTGAGACTATCCGAGAAGATGAAGTAATGGTCTGCGGGCATGTTGGAAATCATCCCCAATGCGAAGTTGATTGCTGCCAGCTCAGCAACATAAACGGAACAAGGTTCCTGGAGTTTGCGGAAGGCGCTAGAGTTTTCATTGAAGACACCGAAGCCAGTGGATCCACAGAGACGAGACCCGTCTGTAAAATATCTGTTCACGCAATTGACGTGTTGGTACTTTTCAGTAAAAATACGCGGGATAATAATAGGTCGAAGTTGATCGGGAATCCCATGAATTGCTTGTTTCATGGACAGATCATATTCAATTGAGGAACTGCGATTGGTGAAGTGAGCACGGTCTGGAGTGTAACAAGGAAGACACATATCTGACGATATGTAGTGGTGGTAGATTCTCATAAATCGAGATTGTGTGTTCAGCTCAAAAATTTCTTCAAAATTTGCAATTATAAGTGTGTTTGTCACTCCGCATTTGATTAGTATTCTGAGAGAGAGCTCCCAGAAACGGTTCTGGAGGGGTGTTACTCCTGCCAGAACCTCGAGACTCATGTTATGCGTTGAGTGTATACAGCCGAGAGCAATACGCCGACAACGATATTGAATTCGTTCCAATTTTTTTAGGTGACATTTTCTTGCCGAGAGAAAGCAAAAAGAGCCGTACTCTAGAACAGAGAGAATAGTTGTTTTATAAAACGTTATGAGGTCTCCCGGATGAGCACCCCACCATGTGCCGCAAATTGAACGGAGAAAGTTGATCCTCTGTTGACATTTTTGCTTCAAATACGTAATATGGGTATTCCAAGTGCACTTTGAATCAAACCAGACCCCAAGGTACTTGAAAGACAATGATTGAGTAATGTTTCTGCCCAATAGATTAAGCTGCATTTGGGCTGGGTACCGCTTTCGAGTAAACACTACCAGTTCAGTTTTCTGCGGCGAGAATTCGATCCATAGATTCCTAGCCCAAGAAGACAAGTTATCTAAGGAACTTTGCAATGGTCCTTGCAAGTCCACGGCATGTGGACCTCTTACGGAAACCACACCGTCATCTGCAAGTTGTCTTAGCGTGCATTGTTCTACCAAACAGTTGTCGATATCTTTGACATAAAAGTTATAAAGAAGAGGGCTGAGACATGAGCCTTGAGGCAGGCCCATGTAGCTAATTCTGGAAGTTGTCAGTTGTCCAAAGGAAAAGTTCATTTGCTTTTCTGACAACAAATTGTACAAGAAATTATTTAAAATTCCAGAAAGTCCACATCTGTGCAGATTGTCTGACAGAATTTCAATGGAAACTGCCCCCTTAATGTCCAAGAATACTGAAGCCAATTGCTCCTTGTGTGCAAAGGCCAGTTGAATATCTGTGGAAAGCAGCGCTAGACAATCGTTTGTTCCTTTGCTCTTGCGGAACCCAAACTGTGTATTTGATAGCAAGTTATTTGTTTCGACCCACTGATCGAGTCGCCGAAGGATCATTTTCTCTAACAATTTCCTAATGCACGAAAGCATTGCAATCGGACGGTATGAGTTATGGTCAGACGCTGGTTTGCCAGGTTTTCGAATGGCTATTACTTTGACCTGTCTCCATTCAGGCGGTACAATGTTGTTTTCTAGTAAGGAATTGAATAAGTCTAGCAAGCGTCTATTAGCGATATCTGGGAGATTTTTCAGAAGATTGAATTTAATCATATCGCTTCCCGGTGAGGAGTTGTTCGATGAAAGAAGAGCCATAGAGAATTCCAGCATTGTGAATGGTCTATCCAGAGAGCTGCCGCTCGGAGACGCTTCTCGAAGAATGTGTTGTGCTGGAACTGAGTCCGGACAGACCTTTTTAGCGAAATCGAATATCCATCGGTTGGAGTATTCTTCACTCTCATTAGAAGATGAGTGGTTACGCACGTTTCGAGCCACCCTCCACAAGGTGTTCATTGAGGTTTCTCGTGAGAGTCGCTCGACGAAATTGCGCCAATAACCGCGTTTTTTGGCTTGGATTAATTGTTTCAGCTTTGTCTCAAGCTTTGAATACTCCTCGAAGTATGTGGAGGTTTTGTGTCTACGAAAAGCTTTGAAAGCATCAGATTTTTCTACATACAATTTTGTGCATTCTTCGTCCCATCCAGGTGTGGCTGGTCTCCTTTTTAAGGGTGCACTTGGAACTTTTCTTTTTTGTGCTTCCAGTGAGCTTTTGTATATCAAATCGGCGAGGAATCGATATTCTTCCAATGGTGGAAGCGTATCTATTGATTCGACACCGATTGTCACCGCCGTTGCATATTTCTGCCAGTCGATGTTCCTTGTAAGATCAAATGGAACTCGAGATGGTTCTGCAAAGTGAGGGGCACACTTAAT